ATTTTTGACTTATATTTTTTCAATACAATTTAATTAAGAATCGGGATATGATTAACAAAATAAAATTTATGTAGTACATATTTCAAAACAAATCAATAATTATAGGAAACTAGAAGTAAATAAAAAAAAGTAAATAAAATTTGGAAGAGTTTTAGTGGAACCTCACTTGAAATACATCAAGAAATAAATAGGCACACATAAACATTTAATATTTGTGGGAGCACATATATTGAAGTTCATTTTTGTTTGTGTACATTTGGTGTAAATGAAGTGGGTTACCAAACATAAAATGCGAGATGATCTCTAGCGTACGTGAAGGTGTCAAATTGAGTTGAAAGATCTAGCTGTATATGATCAATAATGCATGGTAATAATAATGTCAGCCAGCCAGCTAGACCAGCCATGCTTTGTTTGTGGAGGGAATATTTGTACTGTACTCCATCTTCGTCCTCTCCTCCGAATGAGAATCATTTGTAGGGTCGGGAACAGGTAAGGTTACGTTGAAATGCGTGTGTAGTATGTGCATGTTGCTTTATCTTTTGAATTTTTACCCTAATACCATTTCTACCTCAAGAATTTGTACTCCATTTTGTAGATTATAAGAATGTACTACTCCCTCCGTCCAAAATTAAACTTTACATTACGCGTTACGATGTTTGACTGAAGTTATTTTCAAATCATTTTATATGAAAAATGGTGTACAATTAAAAAATAAAAATTACATATTAAAAAACTATATCAAAAGAATTACAAAACTAGAGGTGACATGACTATATTATTTTATCAAATGGGTGACGAAAATAGTCCAACAAAGTGAATAAAGTTTGACCCTGTGAATAGTGAACGTAAAGTTTATTTGTGGACGGAGGGAGTAATATTTTGTGTTGATGTAATGCTAATTTTTGTTAACGCACCAATATTTTGTGTCAGTGTAAACCCTCAAAATATTAATTCATACTTTTGGTGTACAAATGAGGAACAAATTTTGAGTAGATGTAGCATGATGGAAACAAGTATGTTAGCTCCAATAAGTATACACTAAATAATTATTTCAAAGACATGCACCAGTATATTACTCCCTCCGTCCCGAAATAAATTTCCTACTCTACTTTTTTTTTCGTCCGAAAATAATCTTCTCATTCTACTATTTTATACCACTTTTTCCTAAATTACCCCCTCTTTTCTTTTTCTGCTGCCGTCTCTCACTCTCTCCCCTCTTCCACTTTTTCTTCTTTTTTCGTTCCTTTCTTTCTCCTCCTCTCTTCCTCCGTCATCTCATCCTCCTCTCCTCTCCTCCATTTTCTTTTCTTTTTTCTTCTTCTTCTTTCTCCTCCTCTCTCTTCCTTCGTCATCTCCTCTTCTTCACTTTTCTCCTTCATCTTTTCCCTTCTTTATCTCCTCTTATTTCTCTTATCTCTCTTCCAGATCTGAGCTTGGCAGCGATGGTGGCGGCAGCAATGGTGGCGACGACGATGGTAGGGGGCGGCGATGGTGAGGATGCGTCCGTGGTAAGCCTAGATCTGCAATCTTCTTCTAATCTCTTTCTAATTTATTTCTTTGAGATCTAATGGTAGGGCTATGTTGGTGATGGTGAGAGTGGAGCGATTATGGTGGAGGGGGATGGTGGAGATGGTCGGAGAATGGATCGGTGGTGGAGCTGACGACAATGGCTGGGCTGGCGGGGAGGTGGGGAGGGGCTACGGTGGAGGTTGTGGGTTCTCAATGGTGGCAGGGCTGGGAAAGGAAGGGGAGGGTAATTTAGGCATTTCATGCCTTATTCAAGCCTCCACTAAAAATGAGGAAAAGTCAAAGTAGGAAGCTTATTCCCGGACAGAGGGAGTAATAGTTTACACTGGTATAAATGTTATTTCATTTAAAAAAAATTGCACTAATATTTTGTGTCATTCTAAATCATGATACTAGCATTGTACTAGTACAAAATATTAGTGCATTCTTTCGAAGTACAAAATATGGTACAATTTTTGGATACAAATAATTTAATTCTCATAAAAATTTAAGAGCAACTATGATAGCCATAGGTGTACTCTAAAGTTTAAAGATTATATTCCTTCTGTCCTAAAATGATGTCCTCAATTTGATTTATGAGGTTTGACTAAAATATTTTTTCAATTCAATTTATTTGATTATAAGTGAAAAAATTTAAAAATAAAAATTATATATTTTTAACTACATCAAAAGATCTACAAAATAAGAGCTGACATGATTATATTATTTTATCAAATAACTAATGGAAATAGGTAAAAAATGATTAATGTTTGACCATATGAATACTGACTAAGAAGATCATTTTATGATGGAGAGAGTAATTCAAAATATAATTCTGAGATTTATATTTTCATGGCTTATATTTACAAAATCAAAAAGTTGGTTAATCATAAAATTGTAATACTGACATTTTATGTTAATGTAAGCCATGTATCTCACAATTATATTACGGAGTAATACAAAATGTAAGTTCAAATCTTTAAAATTCATTTTGAGATAATATTTTATAGTACCAACTACTAAGTAGATTTATTCATTGATGGGTATATCCCTATACCCGACCCGGATAACCGAAAGGGACAGGTCAAAATATGACCGGTCACTTTCATCAATCACCAAATGAGGTTTACTCTTCGATTGGGACGAGTCAAAAGTTGACCGGTCACCTTCCTCAAAAAGTGACCGGTCACATTTTGGGCGATAGCAAAAAATGTCACCTAATGTTACGAAGGATATTCCAGAGGACCAAAGAGACGGGCTGAACTCAAAAGATGACCGGGAAGCCTTTGAGGAAAGGTGACCGGTCATGTAACTTGATTTGGCTAACATTGGTCCAGTCTCTTAGGCATGGCGAACCATGTCAAAGGTCAAGGGAACACCCCGCCGCTCATCCATCATGAGGCACGCAGTGAAAGGGATGTTTGTCATGTTGCAGGGTTGATTGGATTGAGAATATCCATGTTATAGTCATTGATTCAAAAGCGTTTCTTGGTTGTATTAGTAGATAGTCTATGATTGTACAGTGTTTCAATTAACTACAGTGACCTTCCCACGGGCTTCCTATTTTGTCCATGGATGAACAGGGGAAGGTCACAAATCCTCCTCTATAAATATGATGATTGTGGATAGAGGAGAGGATCCAATTTTTCTGTGACTAAAGTTCACTCTTGAGATAGTGAGAATTAGTTAGAATTACCTTAAACTAGAGTTAGTTTAAGAATTGGTAAATAAAATAAGTATTTGGCCTTAGACTATGAACGGTTTAAGGATACTATTAGATATGGATTTGGGTATTATATAATGGGTGTTGATGAATGATGTGTGCATGATATCAAGTGATCAATTTATGAATTGAGATTCAATATATATGGATGTTCGACTCTTTAGATATGCTTACTCAGCTTCACCGCTAAGCGTGTAGTGTGTTTTATTTGCTACACGCAGGTGGGCAGAATAAATGATTGGATTATTCCTGACAGCAGACGGGGGCGAGGTGGTCAAAAACGATGTGTGAAAATAATTATTGTCAAAAAGACATGAATTCATTTTGATTTGTATTTTATAAATTAATTCGCTTCCGTAACATTTTTAATACTCCGTTATTATGCTGAATTATTATTATGAAATAAAGTTAAATTGTTGAATTTTTTTTGAATGTCTACGATTACCAAATCAATACTTTAGTCCAAAAGGGGCTGCAGACCTGGACGGATTAGGGTGATACAAAAACCTTGTGGATGCTTGAAAGTATTTATGAGATGGTTTTAAACATATTTTGTAAGTTAATTTGAGTTTGTGAATATAGGTATATAAAATCATATCCTTACATTTTTTTTACCTATTTTCTACGCTAGTTTAGTGTTTTGGCTTCATTCTTGAAAATCGAATCTTAATGGATTCTTGTCGTACCTGAAACACTTAAATAAACTTTTAGCTTTTATATTGTTTGTTAATATCAAAACACGAGGCTTAGCAAACCCAGGCTAACACTCACCCCCTTCAATTGTACCCCCAAGTTAATTTTGACTTTGGAATCAAAATTTACTCCAAAGTCAAAATTAACTTGGGGTGCAATTGAAGGGAGGTTAAGGGGACAGGAACCGTCAATTTTACATACGGGACACGGAGCACCTCTGGGTTATCTAATGACATTGCCGGGCAATGTCACGGGAACCGCCCAACTGACAAGTACATGAAGGCTATTTTATTTTATCAATAGTATTGAAATTTTGGTTTTGTTGAATACATGTGTGTTTGAGTATTCACCATATATATCGATTGTGCATATAAATGACTTCTAAGTTGGTATGAAATTGAACAAGCACTACGTTGTATATTTTTTTTCAATTTTGAAATTGTTGCTCAACCACATCAATCGTCACTTGTTCCTGTAATACATAAACAATGACGTATAAAATTAAAACTACGTACAGTAAAAGAAAGTGTTTGTAAGCCCATAAAATAAACACACCTGCTCATACACAAGCTCTACAGGTCTAGGAGTTAAACAAGCTATAGCATACTCTTGGGTGTTGATGAAATTATCTTGATACAACTACATACATGTACAGTGCCAAAGAAAATATATGTCAATCATGTCTGGTCATAGAAAAAAACAGACACTTCTCACCTAGTCCAAGAAAAAAACAGACACTTCTCACCTAGTGCATGAATATAATAGCCACATATGTCTGACATTGGGTAATATATAAAACAGAGACTTCTCGCCTAGGACATGAATAAAACAGACACAAAATGCGTCTGACATTGGGTATATTTTTCAAACAGAGACTTATCGCATATGACATGAATAAAACAGACACTTCCCCTCCTTGCCCGTTTCCTTTTCCACATTCTTCTTCTTCTTCTTCTTCTTCGGCTTCTTCTTCTTCTTCTTCCCCTTCTTCCTCTTCTTCTTCTACTTTTTCCTCTTTTGCTTCTTCTTCTTCTTCTTCACAGTGATCAGTTTTCTTTTTCTTCCCTCGATAGTCAGCCCCCATCCTCTTCCTTTTTTCTCCCTTGAACGCTCAATACGTCCTCTCCGATCTCCTTCCTTTTCCTTCGTTCAACCCTCGTCACATAGTCTACTGCCCCCTTCCTTTTCCTTCCTACAACCGTGAACATATCCTTCACGTCACAACACAAACCATCAATTTTATCCTCCAATGCATCAATCCTTTTGTTTAGAGTGTTCTTTAAATCTTCAACACTTCTAAACAACAAATCAAGTGTGTTGTCCTAAAACAATTTAAGGAAATAAGTTAGTAAAAAATCAAAAATACATCATATCAAGCATATGGTAATGATGCTTTTATCAAATTCTCAACTATGATACCATCTTATTTGTGACTTCGTCAGGTTCATTAGGGAATAACAACTGCTTTAGAGAGTGGTACTGTGGGCATTTCTTAGCTCCCCAACTTAACAGTGGACATTTTATCTCTTGATTACACTGAGCAACCTCGTCTTCAAGGACTAGAAACGTCGCATAAGCCCAAATCTAAGAATATAAAAAACATGGAGATGAATACTTTAAATTATACATGTTACAAAAGTTGGCAAGAAGTGTCTGTTTCATTCATGTCAGACACATGATGTGTCTGTTTTATTCATGGCAGACAGATGTTTTATTCTGTTTTATAAATATACACAAACAGATGTGTCTGTTTTATTCATAACCTAGGCGAGAAGTGTTAGTGTTTTCCATGTCCTAGTCTAGAAGTGTCTGTTTTATAAATATCCCGAAATCTGAGAAAACAAGACAGTGTGGAAATCAATACTTTTTATGAAACATCATATAAAAATATGTAGAGGAAGAAAAATGAATTAACTTACTTGCAGAACAAGTGGAAACCCATACAAAGCATATTTCCAAGACTTCAAATTGGAGTTGTTATTTTTCTTTTCTTTGAATTTCTCCGGTTGGCCATCCATCATTCCCTTCAGATGCCGCACGGTCAAGAGGTATGACTCCCAAGCCCACGGGTATGCAATGAACACGTCAGGGTCATGAACTACTTCCATGTGGGAGGCATCAATGCATGTACCTCTATCTTTCGCTAGCAGCACATGCTCAACAAAATACAACGAGGCAAGCTTATGTAAATCACTGCTGGGTACATCTTCCTCCGCAGTCATAAACATATTCCGCAAGTGCGTGAAGGTGCATTTCACCGTGCCCCCTCGGAGATACTTTTTGTGAATAGTCTCGGACGAAGCCTTCACATTGCTAAAATTTGGATATGGCTTGGAAATCGGCAAACTTGTGATTCGACAAAAATCTTCAAAAGTGAACTTGTTAAGAGTACCATTGATCATAAACCACATCTCGTCTTCAGGTTGTTGGCAAACGAGATGTATCATAAGGATATGGATGAGTTGTCCAGAAAATTGGAGCTTCTGCACATCCATGAAATCACCAAATGGCATTTTTCGAAAGTTCACCATATTCTCTACACTCAATTTGCTCCTAACTATGGCGACTGCATCTTCTAGTTCTCCACAAATCGAATACTGCGCAGGGAAGTGATCTTTGGTGGGAATCAAAAGTGACATTTTATTGTACCTACAAAATAAACATCCGTCATTGTCATAGTCACCGGATATAAGAGAGCAAAGAAAACTAATAACCTTAGCGTAGTACTTCTATTAGAGATATGATAGTAATAAATGGGCAAAAACATGATACGAAGCATGTAAGGAAGCAACACTGAACACAGACATTCTGCGTCTGTGAGTAGCAGTTCACATACATTTTCCATTTTTTTAAAAACTAAACATGGAATAAACATAATTCAGGACTTAGGGTTCATAATAGAAGAACAAAAAGTAATACTTCAGACAGATAAAAATATGATACCAAGCAGGCAAGAAATTTAAACAGAAAACAGATATTTTGCATCTGTGAGAAACAGTTCACATACATTTATCAATTTTTCAGACATAAACATAAATAACGGTAATTAAGAATTTAGGGTTCATAATCCAAGAAGAAAAGGTAAAAATTCAGCATATTAATACATATTTCTTCTACTTCGGACCACACATTTCAATGGTCATTTTGTTAAGAATTAAACTCAGTTTGTAAACCAATAAATTATTTTAATTAATGGAAGTTTGAGGAATTTCTGCATCACATTTGCCCATTAATTCATTCACAGACCTATTACGCACTTTTGGGGAACCTTTGCATCAGATTTGGGGAAACTCGGCTTGTAGAAATTTGATGTAATTAAGCCCTTAAAAGGTAAAAATTCAGCATATTAATACCTGGAAGGTGATGATGTTGCGAGAGACAATCACCGGCGAGAGACGGCGATGAAGACAATCACACGCGATGATGTTGCGAGAGACAAAATTGAGAAGGCGCAGTAACAGCGAAGCAGGGAAGGTGCAGAGACGGAAGACGCGGCGGCAGTAACAGCGAAGCAGGGAAGGTGCAGAGACGGAAGACGCCGCGGGTAGGATAAGGGGGGAAACCAAAAGAAAGAGAGAAATTTTATTTTTTTGAGGTGGGGGAGAAATTTTGTTTGGGAGAGGGGGAATTGCGTGGGCGTATGGAGTATATGGGGTACAACCGGTGTACATATCCAGTGTACCCATAGAATTATCCTATTATTAATTATAACGTAGGGAGTATTTTCTCAAATCTCAACAACTTATTTCATTCATTGATTTAGAAAAGGAAGCACATTGGAATTAGAATCAAGAAAGAACTACTCGTACAAATTAAAATAAATTTTTTACTATTGTCCCCAAAGCCAAAGTTGACTGAGAAGGATGCACCGAGTAGGCATTATTGCATCTTAAACAGATGAGGGCTTGCAAGGAGCCAGGGGGGGCCCACACAAACACTTATTATGACCAAACGAGGATGGGTCAAATCCCTGCAACTTCCCTCCGGCGGTGGGTATGGGGCCGCAAAGCTGGTTGTAGCTGACGTTGAACTGGTACAACACTGGCACCCGGCCTAACCAGTCCGGGAGCCGTCCGTAGATCATGTTATGGCTCAAGTCGAGCACGAGCAAGCTCGAGTTCAGCACGCCAACCGGCATCACCACGTTCGTGAGGTCGAACGACAGGCGATTCCTGGACAGGTCCAGGTGCGCGAGCTCCGTCTTCTTCTCCCCGAACAAGAACGACGCGTCCCCCGTCAACTCGTTCCCGGCAACTTCCAGGATCTCGAAGTTGACCCTGCCCAGGGATCTCGGGATCGGGCCCGAGAGCCTGTTGTTGGACAGGGTCAGCTGAGAGCCTGGGTCGAACGCGCCGAAGCTCTCTGGGATTCCCCCAGTGAGGTTGTTGTTAGACAAGTCTAGACCCTTGAGGTTACGGAGACGGCCGAGGGAGCCCGGGATCGGACCGCTCAAGCGGTTGTCGTTCAGGCTGATGGTCCCGACATTTGGGAGCCGGCTTAAGAAATCGGGGACGGGGCCGGTGAGGTTGTTCCAGTTGAGCAAGAGGAATTTCAAGTGAGTGAGTTTGGATATGGCTTCCGGAATGGGACCTGTGAGGTTAGGAAGGTTCCTGAAGATGAGGGTTTCGAGGTACGGGAGGTCGCCGACGAGGGACGGGATACGGCCGACGAGGTCGTCGGCGCCGTCGATCTCGAGGAAGTTGACGCGGTAGACGGTGGTTTTGGGGATTTTCTTGCAGGAGACAATGCGCCATTTGCAGCAGTCGTTTTGCGGAGTCCAAGTTGAGAAGAGGCTGGAGTTGTGGAAGTGGTTCTTGATCTGGAGGAGCACTTTCTGGTCATCTGGATGGCAGCGGTGAGCTGGGATGGCGGCGAAGATGGATGAAGGGAGGAGGAGGAATGAGAAGAAGAAGAAGAGGACTGGGAGTAGAGAGCTCTTCATTTTCCTCACGACTCTTTTTCTTCTTCCTTCCTGTAATTGGTGTATATATATACTCTCTATCTATATATTGTTATTCTAGCTACCGTCTACCGAGTTTCGTTTCTTTAAATTGATTTTTGAGTAATTTACCTAAATAGGACTAAAACATAATGACTTTCTCCAAATAGGACCATATGTTTTTATTTCTCAATGTAAGACCTTTGGTCATTATTAATTAGTCATTATTCAAGTAAATGTCCATTATTGCTGGACATTATTACTTTCACGAAGACATTATTAAGTCCTATTTATGTAATAAAAAAATTTAAATCCTAGATTAGGAAAGTCATTATGTTTTAGTCCTATTTAGTACAAATTTCACTTGATTTTACTCCGTTATGATTATTTCGTACTTCACCCAAAATCAATTTCAACCTCCCATAACTTCTAGTGGCTTGATTGGTAATAAAGTTGTAAAATTTGTACTGAATAGGACTAAAACATAAGTCATTTTCCAATGTAACACTTAAACATTTTTATTTCCTAAATAAAATTTAATAATGACTAGTAAGAAGAATAATGTTCAAGTGATGCTGGACATTTAATTGAATAATGACTGATAGATAATTACCAATAGTGCTACATTGGAAAATAAAAACATATGGTCCTATATTGAGAAAGTCATTATGTTTTAGTCATATTTAGATAAATTACCCAATAAAGTTTTTAGTTGAGATTCATATGGAAGTTCACCAATCCCGAAGCAAAGCATTGAGTCTTTGTGACTCATTATTAGCTTAAAAATAATATGAATAATTACTACATTGTAATAAAGCTGATAACATTCAAAAAAATTAGCTTGAAAATAATATGAATAATTACTACATTGTAATAAAGTTGATAACATTCAAAAAAATTAACTACGGAGTAACTAATTTTATTGTGTATAAATTAACGTTCGTGCAAACCCAATGTAGAGGGAGTATATTGTTTTCATCATAGTTTTAAAAACCGAACCGGGCAGCCGGTTCGGGGATTCAGACCGCAACCTGCTGTGAACCGGTGAGAACCGGGGAAAACGGCCGGTTTTACCGCCGGTTCCGGTTTTTTCTATTCTTTTATGAAGAATTTTAAAAAACACATGCCAACGGTTCGAACACAGGACTGCATGGGAGAAAGGAGCTTCTCCAAACCATCTCTACTACTATGCTTGGTGCGATTTCTCTACTATTCGTTTTTTATATTCTTTATTCAAATTTTTTTAATCAAATACAGTACTTTTTAAGTATATATAGTTTTTTTTACTAAAATTCAAAACCCATTGAGGTAATTGATATGGAGTGCATATCACACAAATATTTTATATATATATTTAAATACTATATAAAATGTTTACAAAAAATTCAAATCACTTTTTATTTCTAAGATTTTTTAAATAAGTAAATTTTATTTTTTATTTAATGAAACAACTCAAGTAAATTAAGTTAAATTATAAATTTAGTCAAACATCAATTCTTTATTTATAAATAGAGGAAATATTATTTTATTAATCATATAATAGGTTTTTTAATTCAATGCCACAATGTGTGTGTGTATATATATAAACATATATATACATATATATAGATATATTTATTTATTTCTTTATATATTTATTTATATATTTATCTATTTATTAAAAATGTTTGAACCACTGGTTCGACCAGTAAACCAGTGAATCAGTGCCTTGACCGGTTCGATCGCCGGTTCGATTCTGAAAACTATGGTTTTCATCATCTTTTTAGTTATATAAAATTTACCTTATAAATCAAACTAAACTAGGATAACTTTTTTTAGAAGAGGGTGTATATTGTTTTCATCATCATTCTTAGATGTTTTGGTTTATTTTTTAAATATATACTTTTTTTTAGTTCTACCCATTATTCTATAAAATTCAATTTAAAATAAATTCAATCGAACATCGTATGCGTGTGCCGGTGTGTGCAATCCTTTTTGGAGCAGAGGTTGTATTTTTTATTAAAAAAACTCCGTAATTTTTTTTACTATTACTCGCGCTATACATACTTTTTAGATTGCATTCCGTTCGCATGATCTCATCTGATGTAAGTTTTTGAAGTTTTGATCTGATCTGGTCTAATCTAATCTGATTGGATCAAATCTGATCGGATCTGATATGGTCTGATCTGATGTAAATTAAATTAAAATTGAAATCATTATTGTAATAGTTATAATAATAGAAATATTAGTAATAATAGTAATAATAATAACAATAGAAATAATAATAACAATAATAGTAATAGTAATACTAATAATAATAGTAATAAGAAGAGTAATAATAATAATAAATATAATAATAATGCTAATAATAATAGTAATAATAATAATAGAAATAATAATAATAGAAATATTGATAATAAAAATAATAATAGTAATAATAATATTATTTATAATATTAATATTAATAATAATAGTAATAATTATAATAGAAATAATAATAATAATAATAATTGAAATAATAATAGTAATCGTAATAATAATATTAGTAACAATGGTACTTCTAATAGTAGTTATCATAATTATGATAATAGTAATAATAATAGTAATAATAATAATAAGAATAATTATATTCATAATAATTATAATAATAATAGTAATAGTAATAATAATAACAATAGTAATAATAATAGTAATACTAATAATAGTGACGGAGGATAAGCACATGTAAGCCTAATATCGGACTCAAGGTTGGACCCCACCTCCAAGTAAGCTCAAAGAGGACCCTAGGAGGGGACGGACTTAACCTGTAACACCCTAATCCGTCCAGGTCTGTAGCCCCTTTCGGACTAAATTATTAACTTGGTAATTGTCAAAATTTAAAAATATTTCCAAACACTTTTATTCATCAGAAAAATAATATTCATACGAGTAACAGTACGGAATTCTGAATGTTGCGGAAGCTTTATTAAATCACAAAACATAATTATTTTATGTTCTTTAATTCAAAACCATCACAACCATCCCGACAATCTCGCTTCCGTCTGCCTCCACAATCACATCACGTCATTCTTTCTATTTACATGCATGTAGCAAATAAAATATACTACGCGCTCAACATTGAAGCTGAGTAAGGATATCTAATGTGTCGAACAACTATATAAATTGAATCTCAATTCATAATCAAATCATTTGATATCATGCACATAATGTTCAGTTCAGACATTCAATTATAAATATTCAACATTCAATATTCAACACTCATATTGATATTCATCATTCATCAACAATATCCTTAAACTATTCTTAGTCTAAAGACCAATCTCTTTAATGTTTACCAACTCTTAAATTAATTCTACTTTAAGGTACTTTTAACCAACTCTTAAAATATATTCTAGTTTATAGTGTTAGTCGGTTTAGTCGTTGTGCCCACGCCTTAGAGGGGGGGTGAATAAGGCGTTTAAAATCTTTTCGGAGTTTGATAAAAACGGTGTTGGCAAATGCAGAAGCAATATATAAAACGCAGAAATAAAAGCGTAAATAAAATGCACACCGATTTTATACTGGTTCGGGAAACCCCTACTCCAGTACCTCGAGGCTCCTCCTCAAGGATTTCCGAATCCACTAAGTCCCGGCCTCTTGAACTCCGTCAAAACATCGCACTAGTTTTGGCAAACAACCCTTGCCAAAAGGATTCACTCCGAGATTTCACAACGGCTATCTCGAACTGTTTACAACGAAGATTTAATGGCTATCTTCTACCGTTCCCCCAAGGATTTCAAAGGCTATCCTTGAACCTTTACCCAAGGATTTATACGGCTATCCTTGACCGTTACAATGTGAGAGTTTAACGACTATTCTCGACCGTAAGAAGGTGTGTTTAAATAACACAAAAGAAGATTCTACACAACGGCTAGAATATTAAAATGAAGAACAAAACTTAGCCGGTGTAGAAGGAAAGTATACTCTCTCAAAAATACAATTCAAACTTATGAATATGAGAGTATATAACTAGAAACACAAGCTCAAAGTGTGTGTATAAAAATCAGGAATTTAAGACTCTTAAAATAGCCAAAATATTGAAAATAATCAATAAAAGGATGAACACACTTAGAATAAAAAGAGAGGATGTTTAGAGCTTTGTTTCTTAAGAAATATGAAGGATTAGGCTTGTATTTATAGTGAAAGATGTTAATTAGCCGTTGGGAGGTGATTAGGGTTGATTTAATTCAAAATCTCAAATCAGGAACAGTAACCCAACGGTCACGGTAGGCCGGTACCGTTCACACGGTAGCATGGTACCGTGGGTACGGTAGGGGGTACCGTTAGTGGCAGTACCCCGGTACCGTGTAACACCAAAAATCCATTGGCTCTGGCGGTACCTGGTTAGGACGGGTTGGGCCAACCGTCTACGCCTACCGTCCGGTACCTAGGTACCGTTACACGGTATGGGGGTACCGTGTAGGCGGTATACCCTACCGTTTGGGGTACCACTAGGGGTACCGTGCCACAGTCCTGATTTTTCCAAAATTCCCTTAATTCTTCGTGTTTGAGTTTAAAACCTTTTAGATGTTTGAAAATGTTTATGGGATGGTTTTAAACATATTTTGTGAGTGCTTTTTAGCTTGTGAATATAGGTAAATAAAGTCATATTCTCACATTGGTTTCTACCTATATTCTACGCTAGTTTAGTGTTTCGACTTCATTCTTGAGTACCGAATCTTAATGGATTCTTGTTTTACCTGAAACACTTAAACAAACGTTAAGCTCTTATATTATTTGTTAACATCAAAAGTTAGCAAACCAAGGCTAACAATCTCCCCCTTTTTGATGTTAACAAACAATATACTTCAAAGTGAGTTAGGCGGGAGTAAAATAATGAAGCAAGCAAGCTCCCCCTAAGAATAAGCATATTGAAAATACTCACTTTGAACTTTTTCTTGTGTTTATTGAAAGTTTAATTTTGATGCAAATAGTTACACAAGAATGCATTCAAGTCAAGTTGCATATGCACCACTTTGAAGTATACATCTTCTCCCCCTTTTGTCAAAATCAAAAAGGGTATTTTGAAAATTTTAACCATGTATAACTTCTTGAAACCCTTCCCCTATCAAAATGAATTTTTAGGAAAAATGATAGTTTTGAGATCATTGGGCAAAAGGTGCATTTACAACAAAACTCCCCCAAAAAAAATGAAAACTCCCCCTAAAATGATGCAAGTTTAAAAACTTTTTTTTTCCAGGGGTTTTAGGAATTATTTTCTAAAAAACATGATTTTAAAGATGAATTAAAAAAAAATTATTTAATCATGCAAACCAAGGCTAAAGCAAATAAAAGCACGTATGAGATAAGGTTTTATTTTTGAAAATAATTAAAACAAAACAAAATATCTTATCCCAATAAGTGAGAAGAATTTACCTTGGCTTATTCCGCTCTTTCTTTGGCTTTTTATACGTTTCCTTCCTCTTCACATACTTCTTCCATTTGAGGAAATCTGTATACTTCTTTCTCATTTCCTTCTCTTCGTCTTCTTCATCATCCGACTCTTCCGTAGAGCTTGAGTCACTTGAATCATCACTTGATTCACTTGACTCTTCACTAGACGAGTCTTTTGAAGCTTTGAAGGCATTGGTAAGCTTGGGATTTTCACGCATTTTTTCCTCTTTGATCTTTCTCAACAAAAGCTCATGAGAATATAAGGAAGACCAAATGTGGGCGGTTTCGGTCTTATCACATTTGGGTAATAAATCCACTATACTACTATGCCATTCTTTAGGTAAAGAAAATAGAATTTTCGTATTAAGCTCGGAAGTAGTATACGTCTTACCCAATTTACTCAATTTGTTGACAATCTCATTGAACCTCTTGTTCATATCTTGGATTGTCTCACATGGTCCTTTCTTGAAGGATTCATATTCGGCGTTCCCAAGGGCAATCATTGTTTGCTTTGTCGAGACATCCCCTTCGTGAGTGGCTTCTAATAGATCCCATACTTCTTTGGCAGTTTTGCACGTACTCACTCTTGCAAATTCATCGGGACCGAGGGAGCAATGGAGGATGTTGATTGCCTTTGCATTCATTGATAACTTTCTTTTATCCTCCGGAGATAATCCTGCAAGATTACCAATACTCGGCACAAATGGCCCGTGACGTACATTCAACCATAAATCAAAATCAATTGATTGAATGAAATATTCCATCTGCATTTTCCAATAAGAATAGTTTTCACCATTGAAAAATGGAGGGCGGTGGATGCTTTGGGAATCCATTTGGGCCATATTTCAATAAATTTGAATTTAAAAATTGGGAAATTAAAAATTTTGAGATTTTAAAAATGCAAATTTAAAAACGGACACAACAAGTGGATCTTTGTCGTAGATGCGGTTAAACACTTTCAACTACAAAACTGCTCTGATACCAATTGTTAGTCGGTTTAGTCGTTGTGCCCACGCCTTAGAGGGGGGTGAATAAGGCGTTTAAAATCTTTTCGTAGTTTGATAAAAACGGTGTTGGCAAATGCGGAAGCAATATATAAAACGCAGAAATAAAAGCGTAAATAAAATGCTCACCGATTTTATACTGGTTCGGGAAACCCCTACTCCAGTACCTCGAGGCTCCTCCTCAAGGATTTCCGAATCCACTAAGTCCCGGCCTCTTGAACTCCGTCAAAGCACCACACTAGTTTTGGAAAACAACCCTTGCCAATAGAATTCACTCTGAGATTTCACAACGGCTATCTCGAACCGTTTACAACGAAGATTTAATGGTTATCTTCTACCGTTCCCCCAAGGATTTCAAAGGCTATCCTTGAACCTTTACCCAAGGATTTATACGGCTATCCTTGACCGTTACAATGTGAGAATTTAACGGCTATTCTCGACCGTAAGAAGGTGTGTTTGAATAACACAAAAGAAGATTCTACACAACGGCTAGAATATTAAAATGAAGAACAAAACTTAGCCGGTGCAGAAAGAAAGTATACTCTCTCAAAAATACAATTCAAACTTATGAATATGAGAGTATATAACTAGAAACACAAGCTCAAAGTGTGTGTATAAAAATCAGGAATTTAAGACTCTTAAAATAGCCAAAATATTGAAAATAATCAATAAAAGGATGAACACACTTAGAATAAAAAGAGAGGATGTTTAGAGCTTTGTTTCTTAAGAAATATGAAGGATTAGGCTTGTATTTATAGTGAAAGATGTTAATTAGCCGTTGGGAGGTGATTAGGGTTGATTTAATTCAAAATCTCAAATTAGGAACAGTAACCCAACGGTCACGGTAGGCCGGTACCATTCACACGGTAGCATGGTACCGTGCGTACGGTAGGGGGTACCGTTAGTGGCGGTACCTCGGTACCGTATAACACCAAAAATCCATTCGGCTCTGGCGGTACCGTTACACGGTATGGGGGTACCGTGTAGGCGGTATACCCTACCGTTTGGGGTACCGCTAGGGGTACCGTGCCACTGTCCTGATTTTTCCAAAATTCCCTTAATCCTTCGTGTTTGAGTTTAAAACCTTTTAGATGTTTGAAAATGTTTATGGGATGGTTTTAAACATATTTTGTGAGTGCTTTTGAGCTTGTGAATATAGGTATATAAAGTCATATCCTCAGATTGGTTTCTACCTATATTCTACGCTAGTTTAGTGTTTCGACTTCATTCTTGAGTACCGAATCTTAATGGATTCTTGTTTTAACTGAAACACTTGAACAAACGTTAAGCTCTTATATTGTTTGTTAACATCAAAACATGAGGCTTAGCAAACCAAGGCTAACATATAGTACTCCTAACCAACTCTTAAGCTATTCTAGTTTAAGGTACAATTTTCAAAAAGGTTTTCCAACTCTTAAACTAGCTTTCGCTTAAGGTACAACCAGAAACCGAACAACGGAATGCTCACTGTTGGATTGGGTGGTATCCCCAAACGAGTGATCCAATTTAATTGAGGTTCCCGTACGTACGTTTTTACCTAGGCCACCGAATATTTATATTTATAACCGAAAGGCCTATTCTAAACTGAGGTCTATCTTAGAGTTCTTCTAGATAGTCATTTTTACCCGTGTGTACATTTTTGGTCCATTTTTCGGAAATATCTTTTTTAGTCACCAAACTTCAATTAAACTCTATAGAAATGTTTTTCAAGGTTCATAGATCATTTTGGTATCATTAGTTCGTAGTTTTGACAACAATTTCAAGGTTTATGATTCTTAGTTCTTCAATCATGTCAAACACAAAACTCAACCAAACGGCTGTTTATGAATGTAAAAACGATCTATATGAACATTCTAGTTACTAGATATATCTAAGGGCTTACCTCGGGTTTAAACAGAGGTTTTGAAAATTTTTCGATGAAACTTACGGTGACGATTACTCCCAACTCCGGCGACCTCTCACCAAATTGATAGCACTAATGAAAGCTCCACACTCATAATTATCTCTCAGAACTTATTTGGAGTGAAATGGTGAAGAAATGGGAAGTTAGCTCTCCTTATATAGAAGTTGAGGTGAAGAAGAAGACATAGCTGACTCACGATTCTAATTCCATGTTTGATGATCGGCTGATTTGTAGGATTTCACACGCCATTCCCTGATTGGGATAATTTTGGTTCCAGTCGTGGTACACTTTTTAGTCCAACTTTCTCCAAATTAAATTTTGTTTGCACCGTTGCGGTCGGACAGTCAAATTCTATTCAGCAATATAATTTTCATTGTTATCCGTAATACTCTTTTCAACATCATTTTTTGGGGGTTTGGCTTTGACAGAGTCAAAATAGATTTAATTGACCTTTCTTCAAAAAGGTTCTCACATTCAATTCATATTATTTATTCTCATGATTCAATTCAATAAATCATTTCAAAGTTTACATCATAAACAAATTCTTCATTTATTCATAATTTGCGTCTGTACTTTGGTTCCCCATCAAGATTACACAAATAATCAACATGTTTGATTTATCTCTATGAGATTTATCCAGATTGTGATATTGGATATCAAAGCATATTTCATTTCAGCCCAAAGTCCAACAATAATTTATTTCCATAAAAAAATTTGATTGATTTGAATAATAAGTTAATATATTTTCGGGCGTTACATAACATGTGGCCTTGGCTTGGTAGAGATGAGCTCAGCTCGGACCTCGGGCTCCTTCCTTCTCGGCATGGACAAGACGACAGTGATGTGAGGACAGCGATTGGATGATAGGGACCGGATGATAACGACCAGATGAAAGGGACTAGACTATGAGGACTAGGTGATATCTATTAGGCGACAAGTATCAGTTGTAGGGGTTGAATTAGTTGTATTGTTGAATCTATAAAAAGGCCTACGCCTTGTCATTGTAAAGGTTGACTTCAGGATGGGAAACGTTGGTGAAGGAATCTGAAAAGAACTTGATGGCCTCGCTGCAAATCTGTTCTTCATCTATAATAGATGTAATGGTGAGTTTCCTCCTTTTATGTTTGACAAAAGAGTGAAAAAACTTAGAATTGCAGTCCCCCTCATTCATCCACTTGATATTGGCTTTTTGCGTCCAATAAGCTACTTCTCTATTAAGACTAACGATAAGATTGGCACAGGCTAAGTTTGAAGCAACCCTTGTTTCATCAGTGGGGTTGCTTTCAAACTCTTCTTGAGCTTTACTTGCCTTAACCTTATTGTCCTTAACATCTTGAAAAATATTGAAAAACTTCTCTTTGTTCCATCTGGAGAGAATAGGTTTCAGGCCTTTAAGTTTATTGGCTAGTCCAGACATACCCCCTGTTCTTGGGCTAGATCCCCAATAGTCTTTAATAGTGAAATAAAAGCTGTGATGAGTGGTCCAGACTTTTAAAAATCAGAATGGTTTAGGCCCTTGAAAATTATCTTCTTTACACCTTAGCAGAATTGGTTTGTGATCCGAAATAGTTTTGCTAAGATGGCTAGTGCTGATATCATTGAAGAAGGGAGTAGAGTGAGAGTTTATAAGGAACCAATCCAATCTTCTCCATAATTTGCCTTTGTTTCTAACACCTGGTCAGGTAAAAATTCCTCAGAGAAGGGAGGGGAGATCAGACCACAAGCCTCAACATAGTTTCCAAAATCTTCCATCACATCCAGAGAAGGGAGGGGAGATCAGACCACGCCATCCCTCTCAGTGCCACCTCAACTTTTCTGTCTCCCATCACAACCCATCACACTGCAGGGGTGTAAATCACACCCAATTTTTTAATACATTTAAATGAAAATAACTTAAAATAAGACCATTAAATAAATATTTCATTAAAATGCAAATTTAAAATTATATTGACATAATGCATGGAAAAAAGAACTAAGAGCGATACAATACGAAATTGAAAATAAAAAACAACTTGATTGAAAAAATCAAAGATCCGCCGCCGAAGTCATCCGTTGCACTCCCAAGCCACTTCTGGCTTATTTTGTCTTTGAATTGTTTTACATCCACGTGCTCTAGAGGTGGCAAATGACCAGTACTTGACATAAGAATTTCATATTCTTTGTACTCATTCTTTTTGTGCTATAGGCGGAGTGCTTCCTCAGCGGCCTGGCTTTTTGCCAAATTTTGTCAAACTATAAATCGTTGAAGGTGGCCATGGTGGTGACGAGCTCGTCGATAATTGCCTCTTTGGACCCGGACGCCATTGAAGATGATGCCCTATACACCTTCTCCTTATCACTACAAATGGGCCATGTCTGCTCTGGAGGGGTCAGAATGTCATCATCGTCGTCAGTAAGCAACATCGATGTCCAACGAGCGTCGGACCCCCCGGGGTTACTCTTATCTCCAGACTCCGACGTCTTGGTCCGTTTTGTCTTGGAGACCTCACTCGGCATCGGAGCCCACTATGGGTGTGCAAACAATATCTCCCATGCTTTGATGTGTGGGAAAGATGTATTATACCGCTCTTGGTATGTGTCCAAGGTCCTTTCTAAAACATCTTCGTCACTAGCTCTACTTTGCAGAGTGAGGGCGACAGAGTTGTGTATATCGGCCAACTTGTTGACTTTTGCATTCAAGTCGCAGTATTTGGAGGAGATGGTGTCGACGTTGCGGTAGGGCTCAATGTTCATAAGGGCGTGGAATATCGTCGTTACCCTAGCCCAAAAGCCCTCCACATTTTGGGCCGTCCCTAAACGTGAAACAAAATTGTGAGCAAAAAAATTATACGTAAAACTTGTAAGAAAAAATGTTAAGTAATAAAATTAACCTTTGATTGGGTCTTCGGAAACGTACACCCACGCCCAGGCCAGCGTGTCCTCCTCCGTCGAGGCCCACACTCGCTTCGCAATCCGACTCGTTGAGTTTTCATTGCGCATGCCCTTTCCTTTGCATTTTTGGGTTTGTTGCGTTTGGGGGACGATCTCAACGGGCGTCAGTCTGGCCGTTCTCAGAACTTGTGATGGATTTTGTAAATAATTGCGTTGCCACTCGAGAAATTGCAAATAGTTAGGATCCATAATATGGTTTTTGACAATATTTAGAGAAATTTTTAAAAAAATAGGTTGAGAGAGTATATTGAGCGAAGGTGTGATTTTTTAAAGGGGTGGAGGGGGGTTTAAATAATAATTTTCAAAAAAATAAAAAATTGAAAACTAGCTATTAAACGGCTAGTTTTGGGGGGAGGAACAACAGTGTTGATCGTGATGGCTATCACCCCCATCACGGTCACCTTGTAGGGAGCGGTGTTCAACACCGTGATGGCAGGTGATATGGAGCCACCTGGCTATCACGACACCACCACGATTTCCATACCACGTGGTCTAAGAAATACAAGTACCAACTACCACGTAGTATTTATTTTGACGGAGTATTTGAGTTTGGCTTTAGTTTGCGGGATACTGTACATCCAAAATCTGTGTAACCATCGCCCACAAAAAGAGTTTATTGCACCATGACCCATTTGATTTGATAAATGTTCATTGTTACCACATTTTCATTTTTTTGTCCAAAAGAGGTCTTTATCATATCGGTTCTTTTTAATGATACAAAAATCAATGAAATATTTACTTTTTTCACTAAAGCCCATATCTCATTTTTTAATTCATTGACTTTGTACCGTTTTTTATTTTAATCAAAATAAAAATAAAAATAGAATAGAATAAGAAAAGTATATGAAAAAATACTTTTATAGAATAGGGAAAATTAAGGCCCCGTTCCGTTCAACTTATTTTTTCTTATTCTTATTAAAATCAGATCAGATCAGACCAGATCAGATCCGATCAGATCGAATCAGATCAGATCAGATCAGATCGAATCAGATCAGATCAGATCAGATCCAATCAGATCAGATCAGATCCAATCAGATCAGGTCAGATCCAATCAGATCAGATCAGATCAAGACTTATTAAAATAAGATCTCATCAAGAATTATTATTATTATTATTATTATTATTATTATTATTATTATTATTATTATTATTATTATTATTATTATGATCATCATCATCATCATCATCGTCATCATCATCATCATCATTATTATTATTGTTCTTAAAAATGAAAAAGAATAAACTTTAGAAATAGGTTAAATAAAAAGCTGAGAAAGTAATCCTTAATTATTAGACGTCGGAAAAATTAGTTTTAAAATACATTGACAATGTCAATCTAATTCTACTTTTAAAATATATTTTTATTGCTACTTGTAATTTGAGTTTCTAAACTTTTGATCTTTTATAAGGATGAGATATTTTAATAAAAATACTATCTCT